AAAATCAAACATTATTATCAAATTGTGGCATATAGCTACATCTATTATTGAAAAGTTTAAGCATTATCCATCACCCTATTGTTTTGCAGTGATGGCCAACCTAACTTAATCAGTCGCCGCCCACATTTGTATGATTCTGCTTAAAATATTATTTATTATGCTCTTGGGCTAATAAAATTTATCTTTTAACATATCAATAAACATGACACAAGTTTCTATGTTTGATAGATAATGTAATTCAATAAGTAGTATGATGCAAAGCTTGATTATCCCTGCTCTATAATCTGTCAAACTTTATCAATATGACTTTGCCTATATGATGCATTTCTCTCTTCTTAAAACTAATGCATTTCTCAATGTGATATATTGATTTCTTGTTTTTTAATAGTCAGGAACTTGTACACAAATATGGAAAAAGCTTTAGACGAAGTAATGGATGATATGTGAGTTAGGTTATTTTTGACAAACTATTTAAAATCTTTCATTAAACTGAAATTTTCTTCTTTTCTAATTCGTTTTCACTTAATTGCCTCATAACTTGAAAACTGATTCAGGATGCCTCACTCCCTTCACATACCAATTATACATATTTTGTATCTACATTTTCTTTTATTCTTCATATATAAATATATATTTTTTTCAATATAGATTATCCAGACCAAATGTCACAGGATGCTTATTTGCTGATCAACAAGGACTATGTCTTGGATGTAATATATTTTCATCTCAATTATTAAATTATTTTCATATTTATATTAAGAATTGTGTTTTGTAGCTAGGGGCAAAGTTAGTCCATCCACCACAGGATTTGTTGTAGCATTATCAGATTTATCGTGCAAAATACAGCCAAATGAAAAACCTCCAATAATACATTTGGAAGCAGATAACAGGTATAAGTTCATAACATTATACAAGAATATTACTATTACAATAAAACTTAATTCAACTTTGTGGTTTTACTAGGCAATGTATAATACAGAAACAGGAGAACATAACAACAGCAATTTTTAAAAGAATCTAATCGTGATAAATGGTAAAAACAAAATAATCATATAAAACATTAAAACTTAAAAAAATATTAGACACACAATGTATAATTATTAAAAATGTTAATGAATGAAAAATGGTTTTAATTATTATATTCTCTATTTCAATTTCTTTTTGAGAATTTTTTCATATCCTGCATGTATTAAACTTTTATTCTCATATCCCCAGACTAAAGATTTATAGCAAAACAAATCATTCCTATAATAATATGAAATAACAACTGCCCAGGAATGAGTTTTTCCTGCAATATAAAAATACGCTTTTGCCACATGTTTTAAAAATATTTATAATATTAGTTACCTCTGATATTTTAAGTATAACTCCGAATACTATCAAGCATGTCAAAAACTTTGCTCCAGGAAATATTCTGTATAATGGATTTTGTTTTACGTCTTATACCTATCCGCAATGAGTGTATGCTATGGCAAATTCGTACAAACATATTGAGACAATTTGCAAGAATAAATCCAACTGGACCAAATAAATATGTAAACACATACGACATTGTAAGGAAAGATACAGAAAATCCTAGCAAGTAATAGTTATATCTGAAAATAAATATGTATTATATATTTTTCTATATGTTATTATTATTAAGATTTATTCACTCAACAGATTATTAATAGAATACTAATAATGAATATCATTATGTACTCATTAGTAAATCTGTGTGACACTTACTTGTCTAGTTGTTTGGATGTCATTGTTGCAAAACTATAACATTCAGTAACGCCATTTACTGCAAGCAACACGATAGCTAAACAATGACATCGAAGCAGTAATATTGGCAATCCGCCTTCAACAAAATCAGCACCACCATATAATAATAATAATGAAGCAGCATAGCTCTGGCCATATACCAAGACCAGCAAACCAATGGAAGATACTACTTTGCACAACTGGGTAAGTACTTCTGTTGACTCTGTAACTTTTATCTAAATAATATAAATATTAAACCTCATAATATAATTATTTAGTTCAATTCAATTTTACAAAATTTCTTTACCTTATCTTGCATGCTCAACTTGTCATCTCTATTAACCATTTGAGTGAAATAAAAGTAACCACCTTCTATAGGTTTGAAAATAATCTTAAATAAAAAATATTATTTTTATTATTAATAACAAATAAAATTTAATTTGTGTTAGGAACAACTAAAATGCAATTAATGTTCTATGATAAATCCTATGCATTATGTACCTTGCTGTGATACTGCCTAAATTATTCACAATATCATAAGTTGCTTGATCACTGAAAGACAAAACTGGGCTAATAGACATCACATATTTTTCACCTTCTGTAAGAATTTGTTTACTATACATTGTTTTGCAAAACTTCCTGTTAGAATTAATAAATCCTTATTGAAGATTGAACCCTAGAAAATTAACATGAATACAATTATTAAAATATACAATAATATTTGAAAGAAAAAAAGATAATACCTCATTATCCAAAGTGCCAGTAAAAATTGAGCTACAGATGCAAATGGAAAATCATCCATATTTTCAAAATATTTATCTAATTGTGGATTATTTAGTGACTCATTCTTCTTTTTAATTAATCGATATTGTTTCATTTCTTTGTGTACCAATTAAAATACGAAAGATAGCAAAGCAATAAAATTACTGCACACAGTACTTGGGCAATTGAGAATGCATATAAAGCATTTCCTTATTGTGTAATACAATGCAAATAAATATTATTGTTCTCAGCCCAATACTTATATTTCACACACAATCTGTAATAAATATCCTTAAGATTTCAAAATGTTATGCAATCAATTTTATAGAATATAAAATAATATTGAAATTAAAAAGAACCCTAATAAATGTTTAAAATAATAAATTAATACCTTAAGTTTGACAACAAAAGCAAATATTTGGCCTGTTAAAAGCAAAGGCTGTGCTGAAAGTTCAATTATACATGAAATAACAATAGCATAGCATGCCATAACATATTGGCTTGCCAATTCATCTTCAACGGGCGGTAGAATATAATCCATATATACAAAAAAAATATGCTCAAAACCATACAAACAGGTACTCTGAAATTAATAATAAAATTATTTATTCATTTTACGAAACTTAATTAAATAATACATTACCTGACTTACTTACGTAAGCCATATTTGATTAATTAACTGTGGCCATTTTCTGTTATTAACATTACTTATACAAGACCTTAAGAACGGCTCTCGACTTAGAAAAAGCAATGTACTCTCTAATAGCAAGAGTCTTACATTCATTATCCCCAAGATATGTCTTCCTACATATCGTAGTATAAAAGCATTTGTGGCAAAAGTGAGACATCGAAAAGCAATCTGCAAAATAACTTATAATAATGAATTTTTAATAAATACTTGACTTTTACGTAAATGACTTGTTAATTATTGTTTGAAAGTTAACATAATATAAATTTAGAGAGGTATTAGTTAATTTTCAATAAAGATTATGTATTCAACATAAATAACATAATTATATTGGTTCCTATGTATATAGAATTCTTTGTAATTTATACACATATATGATTTATTAAAAAAATATTAAGCATTATAAAACATGTTTCTACAGTATTAAATTCTTGGCGATAAGTATCTCTTTTATTACCATTACATTTTGCTATTGATATTTGAAATATTTATTTATATAGAAAACGGGATCAATGTTTGATCATGACACAACAAGACGCAATTAAATTTAGTTCTAGAACTTCTACTTACCTGAACAATAATTGTAAAAGATGCATTTTCAAGACTACTTTTCAATATGTTACGAGACATTGCAAATAATATCGTATTTTTGAAATAATTATAAATAATCTGATATATTAATAAGAAATCGCTATATTATATTGTATATTCAAGTATTATCCTTGAAAAACATTTTAAAATCATAGAGAAAACGATATTTATTTAAAAATTGCACATAACTATTCG